ACCTAGTCGTCGAGGAATCGCATTCAGAAGACTACAATAGTTATCAATTTGTGTCTTGCGATGTCCTTAATTTGGGACATACTCTGCAATCGTCTTCAAATAAACCCACATGGAAATTAACCTTTCACCATCCGCTCGAGCTCAGCCGCATAGGAGTGATGACGCGGGCAATTCTCCATTTCTGAAAAAAGAAAAGGAGAAAACACAAAAACAAAAGATGATACCTCGATATTATTGATCCATTAGGAGTATATATTACTCTCGCAAGGCGCTTGATGACTGGGTTTTCCGGTAATTTTGAAAATCGCGATGATAAGAGCGGGATATTTTTCCTTCGGGAGATAAACCCCCGCATTCTTAAAGCTCCTGCTCTACTATGACAATCGCCGTTACAGAAATAAAAAGGGTAACAATTTAGTTCATCACTACGCCACGTAAAAAGTTACCACTAAAGTCACTGGGAAGTTAGCTGGTCCTTGGGTTAATCTCGTCAAAATACTGCACTATGCGGTCCATGGTTTATCCGAAGCGATTTTAGTGAATGCAGCATTTCGTGCATTTCAGGCACCTCTGCCATCTTAGGTTAACCTCACAACTATTGCCCTCAAACGTACGGTACCTACAGGGTAACCGTCAGCTTTTTATGGGCTCTTCCTACCTTGCATGAGTCAAAAGTAGAACCACAACCATCATACGAGGACGTCGCATTCGCTCCTAATAATGTGTTGTAGATGAAGCGAGCCGAGGATTACGTGATGCTTGCATCCGCAACTGGGAGCAAATGCGACAAAATGCGACATAGAAGACCCAAACACAGCTGACGATTTATTAATAGAGCTAGCGGGCTTATAGAATCCCTGAAGGGAGAAAAAAAAAAGGGAAGGAAAAAAAAAAGTGGGTTTGTTCGTTACTTGAGGTTATCCTCAAGTCGCAGATTTTGCGGATTCTGTGGATCGAACACAGTGCTTTTAAACAGTGCTGTTAGTTTCAATTCTGAACGTTTTGGAACATACGCCTTACCCTCCAGATAAAGGGCTGAAGTTGACTTCAGTCTGGCCTGATAACAGGTTAGCGGACATTTAAGTTGCCGATTGTTGGTGTTACTGACGCTCTCCCAAGCTAATGGATTGTTAGTTTGTCTTCTAATCGTTTGATTTTTGAGGGTGGGGTACTAACTGAGCTAAATCCGCTCCAATTCTGTTTGTTGGATGTGAAGTGCTTATTGAATATTATTAAGCGACAGTGAATTAATAGTCCTGCGGCGCATGTATAAGAGGCGCGCTCTGATGTGTTCTAAATTTAGGTAGAATTGACACGGTTCAATAATAAACTGCTCTGTTGCTTCCTGCTCCAGCCTCCCCTCTCGAGCTTGGGGTTGGGTGACTGCGCTGGTGGATCACGTGTCGCGTCACGTGGCTAATAATTGCCACCTTTCCTCTTTAGGAATGGATGACTTGGGTCACGTTTCTACCTGCGCCACACTGCTTTTTTCTGCGTGATCGCATGTACCTCTTATGCTCAATCTATCAAACACTGCTTAAATACTAGTATCCACCTCAATACAGTCAATCACATCGCTCTTAATAAGTGATATACCGGCAGTTGCAGAATTTACTGGACTATCTGCTCACATTGTCGACAATTTCCAACGTCATATTGCCGCACTAATGCCTTTTGTTGCCTTTTGTTGCCTAAGGTGTAACAAATTTATATCCTACGTTAAAATGCCGCTCAATGCCGCTGCGAAAGTGATGGGGGTCCGTCTGGCATTGCCGTTGTTGTCATCGCTTGCGTTGATTGTTACGAGGACATCTAATGGGGCTGCTGCTTCGGGCAGGACTACCAAGTAGATCTGCTATTTGTCAACTATGCAAGGTCCTGTCTGCTTCGTTGGGGATAAGCTGTTGATATCTTCCATGATGGTGTTAGGTTAGCCTGTAAATATACCCAAAATTACTAATAGTATTGATTATTAATTTCTTATAATATATGCTTATTTTTACAGTCTAGGTTTATATGCTATTAAATATTGGCTATATTGGCTTAAACTTCAAAATTAATACTAGTTGTTCTAATCATTAATCGTTGAAAGGAAAATGTCTTTATCCTTAACTTCTAGACAAGTAATAAAAATCGCATTAGGTTATAAGAACCCTTAGACAATGTCGCATGTAATTAAAGAGGAATCATTTAATTTATATAAGAGAAGTCTAAATTTCCTACAGGCCTTTGTTGCTATATTGTATAAAGGAGGGATGTAAAGGAAGGGATAGGTTCTAAGGAAATAAAGATTGGAACCAAGGGGGTTTTTCTTTGCCACTTGCGATTGGTTCCATCGAGATACCTTCATTTCTTTATTTGATTGCTAGGAATGAAGGGAGATATACCCATCCCTTAATTCCGTCCAATTGGGGACGAAACAGGCACCGAAACGTTCGCAGCTCCCGCTTGCGGCTAGCTAATGGTGTTGCGCTTAATTGACTTAAATATCTTTATGACAAAAGGCGATTGTAAATTTGTGGAAATACTAGTGATACAGGTACTGTACATATATAGACTTTTGCCTGTCAGTTATTCCGGACTCATAACTGTCACGCCAATTGAGCTAGGATGAACGAGGGTACACGTGATTTAAATAAAGTGAGCAAGAGAGTTGTATTATTGGTGTGTCCTGTTGTCCGAACCCTATACCTTGGGTTTTCTTGGCTTTAGTATATTGCTGTATCACATAACTGTAGCTCATTCCTTGCTTCCTTGCCAACAAATCATCCCTTTCTATGACACATTTGTTAATGGATCTACATATTACTTCATGGGCTCGCGCCTTAACATTATATATTAATCTAAGGAGACGCTTTAGCTACTCCTCAATTGAGTCTGGATTGATATAACTTGTCTCTAACATCTCCAACTTTTCACTCGTCTTATACTGGCATCCGGCTTGCCTTTCCTCTTCTTTCGTATCTTGGCGGCATTCTACTAGTGTAGCGACTTCGGCGATGAAGCTCTCCCTCTCGCTCTTCCTGGGCTTGGCCATATTCTCTACGCATGTTCTCGCTTGTGCTTCACCTGGTGATCACTGTGTACTGGGAGATCCCGTACAATGCGAGTGTAACGGAGGCCATCTTGTAAGTCTTGTTCGTAATATATATGCTATCGGCCATCTTATACTTGAGTCTACCTATTTGTCTGCCAGAGCTTATCCATTGACTGTTCTTGTACCTCGCCTCTTCTTCGCTCTTAATTATACGTCTGTTATACCTGCTAACCAGTCGGCTGTGTAGATGAATTGTGTGGAATTCTGGAGATGTGGGTGACCCTAGCTTCTAGCTTGAGCCTTAAACCAGGAGGCCGTGTCCCAGATCTGAAAGCTCGAAGACTCGCGAGAGCAAATAATATATAGACTAACGACTTTTGTTTAGATGGGGCCTTCTATACGTACGGTTATAATTGCCCCGTTCCGCCAAATGGTGGGCTCCAGTGTATTAATGGGAAATGCAATACTGGTTAGGGTTAGGATGCAGCGCGCTAGCATGAGAGTGAGGTGGTGGGCGGCCAAGGGGCCAACGGCAAGGGGGATGAGGTTATTTCAAGTCTTCTGCTAGATCTTGTGAGTTAGACTCTTATAGTCTAGAAATTATCAAATGGCCAATGTCGTCAACTGTAACTTGGCTGTGAGAAACATCTAAGGCCTTGCTAACGTAACCCTCTTCGTAAGGTGCCGCTGCTAATGCTGTCTGAGGCTAGGTTATAAGACACAAACCGAACTCGGTAGTATAAAATAGAGCATATATTAATGAGCAAGCGCCATTTGACGTCTAATCTGCAGTTCTTAAGCACTATCGGCAGACAGCATCCTTCGTATGCTGAGTTATATAAGCTTTACGCGCAATCCACGCGCACTAATCCACGTACCAATGACGTTCTTACTGCACTCCCTCTGGACCTAGACATCGCGGCGCTAGAACAACAGCAGGAACAGCTGAAATCCAAGGTCTATAGAAGCGGAAGTTCGGCGCCTTACTTCTGCTATAGGCACGGCCCAGAGCAGGCGCCGGAATATCGTGTCTAAGGAATACTGGGCCGAATATTTTCATAATTAACCGGCTGAAGACATCAAGCAGTAGAACCGCGGAGAGGAGGAGGAGTATATCGAGCCGGTAATTGAGCATCAGATCCCTAAGTGAGCGCAGCTTGCCGACCTAATCAGCTCTCGACCTGCAGACTCGAAGCTACTGGATACTGTCCAGCTTTGGATTCGGGCTGCTAACCTCATGCCAAGTCTGTGTGGCCCCTTCAAGGTGCCCCGGCAGTACTGACTCGCGACAACTCTTCCTGCACAGCCTCATGTCAAGGAGGAGTCGCTCGACATGGAACCTTCTATACCTTTCCTTATCTGTGGCAAAACACAGTGCCCGTTCTGCATTGGCGAGGGGCGGATGGGCTCTTTCTGTCGCGTTTCCAAGATGCGTGATCATGTTGAGCGATCTCACCTGAAGGTAGTCGATCCAGAGAAGGAGTTTTACTACTCTCATGCGGTGTGCAAATCCCAATATTCTGGAAAATATTTCTAGCTACAGAGAGACAAGTAGTACCTGTTCTAATCTGAGCGACATTAGTACATCCGATTGTACTTTGAATTTCATGCTCTTGGACTTTGGCGGCAGTAATAGAATAACTAGGCTACATTATAAAACCTGCCCTAATAGCCATAGGATCTCAAAGCCGTATATCTTACTTGTAGAAGTACTAGTATTCACAGTATGCATTAGTGCAGCGCTAACTACAAGAAATGTATATATTAAAGATATAGCCATAGTAAGAAGGAGGTTAATATAGGATGCTTATCTTAAAGGGATATAGCAGTCTAATTAAGAGCGAAGGTCAATATAAGTAAGCGTCCATTTACTAGGTAAAGCTTTATACTTAACTTAAATAAAGTATCTTCTTACTACTTTAATAACTTACTAAGTTTATCTTATACATTACTTCTCAACGTAGCCCGGATGGCGCAGTGGTCGTGCGCCTAGGTCTCAAATGCCATCATCGAACCTAATAGGTCTCGCTACGCTATTTAACCCTGTGATGTGAGGTTGCTGGTTCGAATCTAGCTTTAGGCACCTCGCACATATTTGGTGATAGACCACGTTTTGCATTAATATCCCTCCATCAGCAAGCTGATAAGGCTCCTACTCCTAAAACTATCGCAATTGGAATCATTCAACGTAGGGTCAAGGCAGTATAGGCAGTATAAGCAGGATTGCGGAAGAGAAAGTTAGCCGAAGCACCATGGGGGTGGCAGAATTGATGGCACAGGCGATAGCATATATACCCTCGAAAATTTTGAAATAAGCATTATATACCAAAGTGAATGTATGGGACCCAATAAAGTGGGCTGAGCTTAAAAGTATCGTTCGGCTCCGCATCCTCTACATCTCTTAATTCTTTTGCTTTACGTTTTCTCGAACGCGATTTTCCTAGTATTGACGGACCAGATGTAGTGATTTGCGGCCCCGATCTGTGCTTACCATTTTCAAGTGCTCCTGCTGCGAAATTCTCAGAAAGCCATCGCTCCCGAAGGCGTCTGCTTGCGTTGTGAAGCCCTTTGCTGACCGATTCATTGCCTATGTCATTTTCCCTCATACATGTATATGCCAAGATGGCCATATCTACACATGATTTGTCGTTCACCTCCCATAAAGTACCAATAACATGTCGAAAACCGGAGAGCTGGCATGCGTTCATTAAATGGAGGCCCTCATCAATAAGTTCGTCTTGTTTAACTTGACCGGTTCCGCAGGCAGAAAGGTAGGCAAGCAGTGGCATCCTCTGGCGAAGATTTGTCTCTAGAAGAGTTGCTACCGTCAGTGGCTGTGTCTCCCAATCTCTCAGGAGTAAGCAGCTTTTCGAAGGATCGGAGGGATTAGTCAGTCCATGACCTGCGAAATGAAAAATGTCACAGTCCTCGAGGGCAGATAAAACCTGGCTCCGAACTGTTGATGGTCTGTCGACTTGAACGTTGCTAGATTTCCAAAATTCTTCTAGCTTCTCGACCTCTTCCGCTGCATAGCGAAGGTCGTTCTGCCCTGGCGTTCTCTGCATGCCGACCAGAACGATTTTCTCTGAAGTCGGTGCTGGGACCTGCTCGAGGCCATGGCGGCGTCCGTATATAAGGGCCTTGACAGATGAACTATAGGATGATATGATTCGATCAAGCGCCGTATTACGAGAACCATCCAAATGATGCCCGGCTGCATGTAGGGGAAATTTGCTGAGCGGCCCTGTTGGGATCCACCATACGCGTGGCCAGTTCTCGCCTGTTGGATATCGAGTAAATCCGAGAGCATCAAGCACCGGACCTACGGTAGAATTCCATAACCACTCGAGCACTCTAGGGCTTCCCAGATTTCCCGTCCGCGCTTCCTCGTCGATGTCCTTTTTACTGAGATTATTCAGCTCCAAGACCCGTATCTGTCGTGATTCAATAAGCATTGCATCACAGCGGTATTCGCTGATGTTTATTACCACGAGAGGGCCATATAGTGCAGCGTCCTGCATAGCTTCCTTCCTTGGCGGAAGCAAGAACTCTTGAAACTCAGGAAGTTTCCGAATATTGTTGATTGAATCCTCGAGCTTCTTGGCTGCTTCATACCGCTGACTCACTGTACTCTGCCGAGGAATGGGAAGCTTGACCTTGACGGACGTTATATTCTTGCTTGAAGGCTCCAACTCTTCCCGAAGATGAAGAAATTGTTTGGCCAGCTCTGGATGCCTCTCTCGTAATTCCGAAACATCCGTTCTAAGGTCCTCGATAGACGTAGCTATCATCCCGCGGGCTTGTTCGAGGAAATTGAGAGCCGAAAGCGGTCCCTTTCTTAACTGTAGTGCCGTTGCTGCGGCGTCGGAAGCAAAGCCGACAAGGCGACGGAGCATATGCTGCTTATCAGAGTTTTCGAGTGATCGAAGACTGAGTCCAGGAATGAGAGAAGCTCCAATGTCGCATGCGTCGTAAGCTTGTTGCCAATCCGAATTGGCTGCCGAGAAGCGAAGAATATTGAGACAAGTTTCTATTCGAGAAAGTGATGGTGAATTGGATTGCCGCATAGAGAGCTGATAGCAATCGAGAGCCTTCTCGAAGTCATCACGCGATCCTGTTGTCGAATATCTTTCCTGAAGTTGGAGTCCGAGATTATTCAAACATGAAGCTCGGTCGGGATGATCATTGGGAGCCTTCCTAACTGCCTCCCTAGATAGTTCTATCGCTTCGTCGAGATCTGGCATCGAGTGTGCTTTCTTGTATCTTTCAGCCAGTCTGGCCCCGAGGTTACTCAAATGGCCGGGCCTGTCTAAGTGATCCTCTGGAGTTGCTTTGACAACTTCCCGCAAGATGTCGATAGACTTTTCGAGGTCTGCAAGTGCTCCGGTAGCCAAGAATCTATCACCCAATCTTACTGACAGGTGGTTGAGATTTAGAGATCTGTAGGTACTACCCTCTGAAGTGGCGTTTACTGCATTTTGCGCAGCTTGGATGGCCTCCTCAAGGTCAGCAAGGGATCCCACCGTCTGGAAAATCTCCCCAAGTCGAGCGCTCAAATTGATTAACCAATGGGCTCTGTGTGGATGGCCATCAGGAGTATCGTTGATGACTTGTCGAAGGAGCTGGGTAGATTTATTTAGGTCAGCAATTGCTCCTGTCCTCTTATATCTGAGATAGAATACACTCTCAAGACTGTCCAAGTACTCGACCAAATCTGGATGGCCTTGCGGAGTAGTATTAACAACCTGTTGAGAGAGTTTAATAGCCTCTTCGAGATCGGATACGAACCCAAGTCTTTCAAATCTGAAGCTGAGACAATTTGCTAGGACATCCGCCAGCATACGCCATTGTGGGTCGTCTTCTGGCATAACCACGACAGCCCCCTGTACACGCCGAATCCCTTCGTCGAGGTCTATTGTGGATCCTGTTCTTATATGTCTTGCCATGAGGAATGACCCAATGTCCCTAATGAGTAAAGGCCAATACGGGCTTCCTTCCTCCACAGCTTGAAGGGCTCCAAGGGTGAGCTGAATAGCTTCTTCGAGATCGCCCACAGAGTCTGTTATCGAGTAGTTGTCCATCAGTTTACGAGCGAGATTATGGGCCATCATTACCCATGTTGGACTCCTCTCTGTTGTAAAGTCGATTCCTTTCCGTAAGAGCAGAATGGCCTCTTCGAGACTAGTTGTCAATCCAAGCCGTTCAAATTTATTGCCAAGTTGAGTTGCAAGGTTATTCACTAACACAATCCAACCCGGGTGGTCTTGTGATACTGATGCGAGAGATGTTTGCAGTAGGTTGGTAGCTTCTTCGAGATCAGCTATTAAGTCTGTCTTCAAGTATTTTCTCCAAAGTAGAGTCGCAAGGTCAGAAACGATCATACTCCACTCAGGAATGTTGGTAGATGTAACCCCGAGAAGCTGTGATTGAATATGAATCTTATCATCGAGATCGGATACTGATTCTGCTTCCGTCCATTTGTCATAAAGCTGAAATTCATAAGTGATGTCTATTTCCCCTCTTGCTTTGACTATATTGGATTCATTCAGAGCTTCATGGACTCCCTCGGCCTCTTCAAAATCTACTTTCGACTGAGTTCTGGAGCTTTTGCGGCAGAGATAAGTTAGAAGGCGTTCAGACCACAAGGAATGGTCTGGATGATCAGCCGAGAGAACTTTTGTAGCCTTCCGGGTAAGTTGGAGACCCATTTCAAGATCCTCCATTAACTGTGTTTCTTCGTACTTATCACTCAGAAGACGTGTAATACTATTAGCAAGGTCCATCCAGTTCGAATCGTCTTCTGATATGGTGTTGAGAGCTTCTCGTGCAACCTGGATAGCGTCTTCGAGGTCGCTCATTGATTGACTTTTCGAATAAAGTAACTCAAATAATACTAAGAGGGTCCTCATTGCTTCCATCCACCTTGGATTGTCGTCTTTGATCGTATTGAGATCGCTTCGCATAGCCTGAATAGCTTCTTTGATTTCGTTTGTTGATTCTGTTATTGTGGCTCTGAACGCAAGTTGGTATACGAGCGCTGTGGCGATAGTAATGCGATCCTGGTCATCTTTTGGCATGATTTCAAGGACTTCTCTTGTAGTTTGAATAGCCATCTCGATGTCGTGAATAGACTCCGTCTCTTTGCATTTGGCTGCAAGCTGGTTAGCGAGGACTTTAGAGAATACAGTCCGGTCCTCAATAGCTTCCGGAACGACTTCAAGGGCTTCTTGGATAGCTTCGATAGCACTTTCGATATCGATTAACAATAGCGTCTGTCTAGATTTTTCTGTGAGCTGAAACACGAGATAGTGGATCAGCGTGATTCGATCGGGATCATCTTCTGATATAACTTTAAGAGCTTCTTGTGTGTATTTAGTGGCATCCTCGAGGTCGCTGATGGATTCTGTCTTCGAGCATTTCTCTTGGAGTTGCGCTGCAAGCCCCTTCATGTAATTGACTCGATTTGGATCTTTTGAAGGAAGTATTTTGAGCGCTGCTCGAAAAGCGTCAATGGACTCATCGAGGTAACTCATCGATTCCGTGAGGTAGAACTTCTCCCCTAGCTGATATGCGAGCTTCGCTGTGTGACTGATACGATCTTGGCAACCTTCTGGCAAAATCTCAAGAACCTGTCGGGTAGCTTGAATAGATCTCGTAAGGTCGTCCATGGCCTTCGCTTTTCGATGTTGTTGATTCTGGCCAAGCTGATCGTCTGATTCGCCTTCTGGATTAATTGATCATTAACATTTTTGCGCGCGGTAAGGGCTGTTGGGATCTTCCTTGCCTCAGGGCTATATTCATGCTTTCCATAGAGGCTTGAACATGATTTTCCGGTGAGCCTTTCTCTAGAATGGCTGTTGACCAGTCATACCTAAGAGTGCATGCGACAGGCGAGATGTGTCTCCTCACGATTGGGCGCCGGGCCTCAATCTGTGGCCTCAAAGTTAATTTAATTCCCCCGCACGGCGGCACACAGCACGGCCCCTCTTTGAGTAATCGTGACCAAAGTTCATTTTACGGTGTCAATAACCTTACCTGCCTGGACAAATCGGCGGTGTCGCAACAGCCGAGTTCTCGAAAAGT